TGTTTGTGTGGGGCCTCCCCCCCCCCCCCCAATTTTGTTTTTCTGTGATTTTCTGTGACCATGGTTTAAAGGAACGCTTTTCTCCAGAGCCTAAAGGGTTTTCCACTATTTTGTTAATAACAACTATCTTATGAATATCAAGGAGTTTCAGTTCCCTTTAATTGTGCAGTAATGCAACTGCTCGGTAGCTCCAGTGAGGAGTTTGTGGGATGCGCCTTGCGTATGAGCCCTGTGGATGGGCTGCCACCCAGAGGAATTTCTGCTCGCTCTCTTGCCTTTTCAAAACAGGATGGCTTCCGCAAGGCTGCTTTGAAATAGTACTTTTACAGTAGTAAAACCAAACACTAAAAAAGCAAGTTGATGCCCTGCAGGTGAGGGAGGGGGCACGATAGGGTAGAGTGGGCAAGGCAGCCTTAGTTCAGGTGCTTCCTAAGGTCTGTGTGGTTGACGCGGCCACCTGAATTACCGATGGCAACTTTGAAGATTTTTAAGTTGTTTCTTATTTTAGATTAGAGTCAAAAGTTTCTAAGAAGTTAAGGGAATTTTTGTTTAGAGCTTGAAAATGCATTCATTTGTTTTGCACTAAAGTTTAATGGAAGGATAAATCTGGCACAGCTATTTATTTCTGAAAGGGTACTTCCATGGAAGTCTCAGTAGTTAATTTTTCTTATGGTACTTCTGCTGTGCCAGTGTTTTAACACTGGTTTACTTACAGCATAAAAGTGCCTAATTTAACCTTATCTATCTTTATAACGGTTTGAAATACTTCTTTACCAGATATTTTTGCTGTTAGTTAATTTTCCGTCTTATAAATATTGGTGGGAGCACACTAAGGAGAATTGAGTGTGATGGTGGTAAAATCAAGTTTGTATAGATTTTTGTGAACAAACATAATATTTAAGAAATCTTAAACTTGCAAGAATAGCATGCTATTGCTTTTATTTTAGTTTTTATTATGTACGTATTACGTACATAATATGTAATAGTAAATTACTATGTATGCACTGATATGTGAACAAATACATAAGTGTATTTTATTTTAATTTTTTAGGTTAAAATGGGTTTGCTGGTGGACTTGACCAATACCACAAGATTCTATGATAGGAATGATATAGAGAAAGAGGGGATTAAATATATAAAACTTCAATGTAAAGGGTAAGTCGACTGCACTTTTTTAATATTTAGTTTTTAATTTGAGAGACCACACTGAAGTAATTGCCTTCCCCCCCTTCTCCAAATCATCTAACCTTTGTGTTCTTGTCTTTTTCAGGCATGGTGAGTGCCCTACACCTGAGAATACAGAAACATTTATCCGCGTATGTGAACACTTTAGTGATAAGAATCCCTCAGAGCTTATAGGTGTGTGTCATCTTGCATTCATTTTCACTAGTTTTTTCCTATTAATTTATTACTTATTCACTCACAACTACAATTCTCGATTCTAGAAAATCTAAGCAAAGGAATTTCCTCACTACAGTGTTTACACCAATCTCAATTTGATTGCTTTAACTATAAAGTAGACTTTTTCTTGACACACAAAGCTGAATGTTTCTGCATATGGCAATTTGATTACAGCTATCAATTTTATGCAAAAAACCAGAGGCTTACGAATTATCTACAAATACATGATACCTGCATTATGTTTTTGTAACTTCTGCTGGTACGCATGAAGGTTATGTGTTGCCTAAACTTTTTTTTTTGCATTTGATAAGTGGGATATCCTAGTTTACTGGAATGCATATTAGATTGTTAAAGAATCTCTGGTTACTCAGTTAATTTTACAAAGCAGCTGCTAAATTGCTAGAAAATGATGGTAGGTATTAGGCTACAGTTTTCTTCTGTAGTGTATTGTCTTACAGTGAATATGTGAATGATCTTAAGGCTAATTTTTTCAGAGCAAAATAAGCTCTAAGTTTAATTTGAGTGGCTTCTAGTTTTAATTTAAACCATTTTATTCTGATTTGTCTTGAGCATATTAATGTTTAATTATATCTGCAAATTGTCAGAGGTAAGAAATTACTGTGATGCTCCCCCTCCCTCCCCTTTTTTTTTTTTTTTTTTCCTCTCTCTCTCCTGTTTGGTCTGTGCAGCTGAGTTTCCAGAGTCAGATGGGGTTTTATCTGCAGGCAACATTGATGACAGTTCTGTAGCCTTGCTGAATCTGAGTGTCTGTGTGCACAGAACAGTTGTTTGCGTAGATATCATTGATAAGAACTTAGTAAACTAAGCTACTGTGTTCATAATAGTAAATTACTGTGATTCTATATGAATCCTAAATAACAGTTGAGTTTGGAAGGGACCTCTGGGGATCATCTACTCCATGCCCCTGCTCTCAAAGCAGGGTCATCTAGAGCAGGTTACCCAGGACTCTGTCATCAGGTTTTGAATATCTTCAAGAATAGAGACTCCATAGCCTTTCCTGGCAACTGAAGCCTTTCAGTGTTTGATCACATTTACAGTAAATGTTTTGTTTTTTTTTTCCCCCCCTCAACAGAATTTCATTTTATTTCAGTCTGTGCCTACTTTCTCTTGTCCTGTCACTGGATAACACTGAGGATCTTAATGCTTGGGAGTTGTAATGGGGGAACATAATTTTCTTTTAGATAGTCTCTTATTTCTTTATTTAACATAGGTCTCAGATTAAAATTTAATTCTATCTTTTCTTTCCTAAACTGTAATGCAAGCATATGATATGAAAAATGAAGAACTGCTGAATTAGCGAGCCCAGTCAGCCATCAACAGTATCTCAAAACTTGAAATATTGTTATGAAACAGCAGTTTTTATGGAATATGGATAGCATTGTGATGTGCATGAAATAGCAGCCTCATTTAACTGGTGTTTTAACTTCTAAAATGTCATTTGTGGTGTTTGACCATTAAGTTTTTGACTTTTATAACCTTTGGAATGCTCTTCCCTTTTTTAGATATTATTTCTTTTCTTGACTTTTTTTTTTCTTGACTTTTTTTTTTTAACTCTTAGATAACCTATGGTCTGGGCTTTAGTAGTAAAAGTCAAATGCTGGGATTTTCCATTTCCTTTCTGTGAGTTATGTAAAAGTCGTTTCATGTTCTGGAAGCCTGTTCCCTCTGAAAGATCACCAGAGAGACCAGTGTGCAGGATATTTAATCAAAAGTGAAAGCAGTCTGCAGCTGCGATGCTACTGCATCCTGTGTGATCTTTCCCTGCCAAGCTGTTGGTTTCGTTGCTGCTATGCTTATCTCTGTCATGTGTATAAAATCATTGACTTAACCTTCTTGGTAGCAGTAACTGCTGCAGGGCTTATTGATGGCAACTGCATGCAATTTAATTTACAGTGTCAAGATTAGACATGAAAAGAGACTGAAAAGTGAATGATAAATGAACAAAATTTTCCATTCAGCTCTAACAATATAGGATAGAAGCTTTATTTTTGCAGCTTGAAGGACTGGAGTATGCCTGCCAACTTTGAGAAAACAAAATGCAAAGATTTTACTTAAGCAGGAAACAAAGGAGAAGTGATTACTGGGAACGAATCCTCTAAGGAGACTAAAATTAATTTCTTTTGATGAAAGTTACACACTTTTTACTATTAAATGGTTAGAATGGGTGAATCTAAGAAATTGCGATTTTTCTCATCTTAATCAGTCTAATCCTTATAGGCAATTTTCTTTGATCTTTGCTAAAAATTTGGCTTGCAATATTGTGGAAAGTATACAAAAAAAGGAAAATAGCTCTTCACATTTTAACCAAATAAGTTTCAAGTGAATTACTCTTCTAAGTATTGTGGGAGAAGTAAGAAAAGCAATAGAAATGCAAGTGACTTGCTTGATACTCAGAGCGGAAAAATACGTTAAAGTTCAGAAGAATTGGGTTTGGGGTTAGGGGAAACTTAATACTGCAATATTTATCGTTTAAAAATTCAATGTGAAGAATCGGAAGAGTCAGCATCTTACTTTACTTTTTCATACAATTTTAAAATCAGACGTTTTCAGACTTGGTTTGTTTATCACTAGATGGTGCTGTTGCCTTGAGAGAAAAAAGCAGTTCAAATGTATTTGACTCTTCCCCTCCCTTCACTATGGAAAGAATTTTATAAAATAAAGGCTGAAGATTTAATTCTTTTATCTTAAACTGAGGAGATAAGTAGTTCAAAGTGATTGCATTGTTGTATAGTCTTCCTTTTTTAGGATTTTTTTTTCAAAATATTTCAAAGTCTGATCTTAGCATGGTAGTAAGAATTTTGATGTAGAATTGTCATCTATTGACAATGCTTTTCAAGCTTGAAGTTGGGTAATCTGAATATAATTTCCATGCCTGATGGTGTGAAATGAATGTAATGCTTATTGAGTCCATTAAAAGCACAATTATTAAATTTAACTATATTGTTTTCTGATCAGCATGTGAACAAAACCCTTAGAACTTTATTAAACATATTTCAGTTGTATTAATTACTGCTCTTGAGCTGGGATCAGCTATAGTGTCCTATACACTTGTTGCTAATGAATTTCAGGAAAAATGTAATAAATTGCCTTTCGGGCTTATGTTCCTTATGGAGTCTGAGCTGTTGTAAAAGGAAGGAAGATAAATCTCAAATGTTGCTGTGAAGATAGAATGATCTAAAAAATATGCTTGTGAAACTAAAGCTAGTTTATTAAAACTGCTTTTAAATGATTACGTCCTTTTCTTTTGTCGTATAGGTGTCCACTGCACACATGGCTTCAATAGAACTGGATTTCTGATCTGTGCCTTTTTGGTGGAGAAGTTGGACTGGAGGTAACTTTGAGTGTTAATTCTTGGGGATTCGTGGAGAATGACCAATGGTATCTTCAATATGTTTCACTCATTGCCCTGACAGCTATTGCAATGTATTCATTGTTTATTTTAAACCTTTTTTTTTGTCTTCAGTTGAGGAATGCTGACTTAAAAGTAACAACAAAGGTAGTGTTTGAAATCTTTATTTTATGTAGCTGTTGCCTGGAAAATACTAATATTGAGCAGTGACCTGTGTTAACGTTATTCCTTTCATCATGTGACAGCTTAGTCTGTTTCAGTTAAGCTTTTCAGGCCTGGTAGGGCAATAGTTGGCAATAGCTGCTACGTGTAAGCTTTCAGACGTGTATATATTGTACTGTCTCTTCCCTGTGACATGTCCCACATTTTGTGTAGGCATGAAGAGTTCATAGATGCCTAAAAGATTATTTCTGTTACTTTGTCATATAGTTTTATTGTGGCTCTTTTAGTTTCTTGAGCTCTGAAAAGAGCAGATCAGCTAGAGCAACAGCAGAGTGATGCTTTCTTAAGCTGGGGAGAAGACACAGTCCATGTCATAGCTTTTTGTTTTAATAAAGTCTACAGCATGCATACACACAGAGGCATCTGTATTTTGGATGATTTCAAAGTGTTGGTGTTTTCATAGAGAGTCGTGATCTTTTTCAGATAACATAAAAAAAATGGCTTGTACCATGCTGATGAGCATGATTTTTACATGTTTAGCAGTATCTGTGAAACACTATTTCCTTGCTGTCTGACTGGGTCAGGTGCAAGGCATGTGACCATGCTCCTTAAGGATTCTGATGATATTCTTGTACAATCCTTTAAAACTCTACTCCTGTTGCTGCGTTTTCTTATGACTGAACATGCAGCTTATTTGGTGATTGGCATGCATATGCAAGCTGCTTGCAAACAACTAGGTCATTTTTTTTCTATCTTTAAGCAAACTTGGAATAAGGACGTTGGAGTAATGGAGATAGAACACCACTGATAGTGGATGGCTGAATATTAGCTGAGTGTAGGAAGTAGATACAGGTACAAGTATCTTTATGGCTATAATTTGTCCTTATAAGTACCAGATTTGTGTATTTTTAATCTCTCTAACAACTTAAAAGCAGCTGCAGTAATTAGAATCAGCATTAGTCCTTTGTTCTGAAGAGGAAATGTGCTTAAATCTATTTAAAATTCCTGCTTGTATGCAGCCTTTTTGTATTTTCAAACCTTTGTGGGAAAAGCGTTAAAACAGCCAAGTCTTATTTTTTGTTTCGTTCACATAATTAAATGTATTAAGTTTTTTCATCTCTGTCAAATTATTTTAACAGAACACCCAGATTTCACCTGGTAGGTAAAAATGTCTACTGCAAAATAAAGAATTTCTGTAAATTGCTTACAGTTAACTGTAAGCATTGTATCAAGATAAATTGTTTGCTATATTTTTCTTTAAAATAAGGCTTTGTTATTGGCTGCTGAGGAAATAAGGTTTTCCTTGCCGAAAAATCCATCCATGTTCATTCCTTAAGTGTATGATGCAGGATTGCTGCTGATGCATTGTGAATAGTGAGACGTGTTTTACAGCTAGTTTAAAGAAAGGTCATCCAGAGTGAAAGCCCTCCAGCTAGCCATCAGAAACCTTACTTGATTCTCTTTTCACAACACATTTTCCCCTAAGACTGCATGTTTCTAGAACTTGGAAAGTATGTTTTCTATCAGGCTATATTTCTGTGCTTGAAATCTGTACTGCATCTTTTGGCTTTCGTTACCGTGTACTCTGTACTTTTAATATCGCCAGAGACTAACTTTGAGCTTGTTTCCTGCATCGTTCCCTTTGGGTTTGTTTTCGTCTTTCAAAGTCATTGATTAAAGATGTGAAACAATTTAAAAAAAGGTACCAACATAAAACCAACATCTTGTGAGAAGGAAATTAGGACTCTTAGGAAGCAGAATGTGGAAGAAAGATTCTTCTAAGTAATTCAGATTCTTACATTGTCATTGCTGAGGTCTGATGCCCATCTGGTAGTCTCACTTGTGAAAGTGTTTTGTTTTCCACTCTTACCAAATATCAGGAGAAGGAACCAACTTACTGGTTCTTAGGAATTGTTTCTGCTTGTTTTGGGAGATTTGCCTCTTAAAGTTCTCAGGCACCTTTCCATACTGGACAGCTCAGAAAAAAATGCCTTTTGTGTTTAAACTTTTTTTTTTCTTCTCAATTTTAGCTATATGCTTGTTTTTCTGCCAGTGGTAGGCTATCTTATCTGAAAAAGTTCTTTTCACAGCACGGAATATGTGCTTTTATTCCAGGTTTAAGATATGTGTTTGTTGAGAAGCCTAGTAGAGGGATGTAGCTTTAGTGATCTCTCTTCTTTTATATAGCATGATTTCCAAATGTTGACAGGTGGAGCAGTCCTGCTCCATGAAACCATGATAAATTCTAGATGGAGCTGTGTTCAGTGTTTTCCATTAAACACTTTCATGGCATCTGTGAAAACAATGACAATAAGACCTTTGAATGGTGATGCTAGTCTACTGGCTTCTGAAGTTTGGAAACTGCTTGCCTAAAGGTTCTTGTGCTGTGCTCGTTGCCATATATATTGGAGTGTTTTCCAGTTGAATCGTAAAGCTGCATGACTAGCAGCCTTGTTAGTTTTGGTTTCTATTTTAAGTTTACGCTATTTTAATTTTATATTGTTTTGTGATCCAGTCTCCAGTTTATTAAAGCACTTAATCTTAAGTGTTAGCTGCGTAGGAAGAGGCTTCCAAATTACAGCTTTTGTGAGAAACTTCTGGAAAGAGCCATTAATTCAAAAGATTTAGATGCTTTTTCTCGGCATGATGGCAAAACCTCTGTTGAAAGGGAAGATAGGTCTTAGGGGGAAAATGTAGCCATACTTGAATTTTAGCACTTATATTTTTGCTTATGAAGTTTATTCATCTTTTTCCTTGGTCTTTCTCCTGTCCGTTCAGCCCTATACTTACCTGTGTTTCACCCCTGCCTGTTCTATACCGTTAATGAAAGCATGACCTAGGAGTCCAGCAGAGAGCTGTTAGCTACAGCTAGCAGTTGTAAAGTGAGATAAAGCAGTGCAAACTGCAGTTACTTCTGAGAACAGAAGCAATACCTGCATAATTATTCAGAATCTTGTGCAAGGGCGACAGTTGCCACGTTGACCTAATTTTGAATGTAATGAATATTTTTGCAGTTGTCATCTGGGGATTTTTTTTTCCTGAATTCTTACTATCAAAATAACTCTTTGTTAAGACATATTATGAGTAAAACAGAAATTAAGCATCCAGAGTAATTATGAATTTGTTTTGACAGTGTTGAGGCAGCTGTGGCTACTTTTGCTCAGGCTAGACCACCAGGTATTTATAAAGGTGACTATTTGAAGGAATTATTTCGTCGCTATGGAGATGAAGATGATGCACCATCACCACCTGAGCTACCAGAATGGTGTTTTGATGAAGATGAAGAGGAGGATGATGATAATGGTAAAACAGGAGGCCAAGAATCAGAACCTGGGTCATCAAGCTCTTCCTATGGTAAAAGGAGAAAAGAACGCCTAAAACTGGTAATTCTGATTGAAAACTTAATATGCTAATTGCTGAACTGAATTTCATAGACTCATAGTCACCAGTTACTGCATAATACATGCTATGTAACGCCAGCGTGCTTGCACATAAGAAACTGGTAATATTGACTCTAAGCATGAATAACCGATAGGCTCAATGCAAACTTTCTTATGTTTCTTATATGAATGTTGAACTTCAATGTTCAATTCTACAGCTGTTCTAGTTGTAACAATGACTTAAAATTTTTCTGATATGATAACTTTTTTTAAAGCTTGAGTTGAGGTGATAAAGCACTTCTTAAATTTGCACTAGATCTTTAGAGGTAAAATATTGTGATGGGTTGTAAATGTTTTTATTTGTTTACTTTTAGTCATATGGATGAAATTCAGAGTAGTTTTTAAAATTCTATGCTCATTGTAATAAATATTCTTGCTTTGGAAAATTTTTAGAGGATTAAGAATTTAATTAGGAGACAGTAATATGTAAAAACCCCAAGACAGTTTTGAAAACTTATTTGCTCAAAGTTGTCTAAATTATATACAGATAATTTAAAGAGTATGACTGGTCACTGATTGGGGTTATTCTGCAATAAATTTGCATTATTATGATTAAGTTATTATAAGCTACTTTTTCTATGATCTGGAACTAGTACTCAAATAAGAAGAATGTACTTGTATTGTCCTGAAGACTGATGGCTCAGTTCTCTCCAAACTCATCATTTTTGTATCTGCAAATAAAGTTGGAGAGAATATTGCTGAGTGCAAAAATATGTTCAGTTTTTTTTTGCATATCTCCTGAATTATTTTACTTGTGTGCTGAGGTATGTTGTTTGCAAACACTTGGAAATCCTCACGTGAAATATGCTGCAAAAATTCATTTTGTTGTTACTGCAGCTGTTTGTTATGGTTTACAGATGGAGTATGGAAGAAGTTAGCCTGAAAAGAATAGAAAATCTGATTCAAAGAAGCAAGATATGCTCTGAAAACTTTTAAATAGGTCATCAGCTGGAATGAAAGGTTGTCTACCACTGTAAATATCTGTAAAGTCAAAATGTTTTCAATTAAATGGCCATTACATCCATTAGCCTTGCAGTAAAACCTTGATATTTAAAATTTTTTCCTCAGTCGCAAAACTGATTTTTGATTTGCCTTTTGATGCGTTAGCAAACGAGGTGTGAAGGTGAGGTCCAATGATGGCCTCTTTTCCTCAAGTATAGAACAAATTTGATCTGTCTAAAAGGAATCATGATAGAGGCTTCCCAGGCTTTTTCTTATCTGCCAATGTAGTCCTCTGAAAGCTGGAAGCTAAATTATACGAATAAGCATATTAATAACTAAAACGTCATTAAGAGTAAGAGAATTTACGAAAGATTCATCTAGTTAATATGCATATTCGTATAATTCGGTTTTGCAGCTCTGGAGGAACGTTCTTTGGCACGAAGAGGAAGGACGAGGAGAATTCTTTACCATGATTCTTGGCTGACAGATTGGACTGCTTCTGTAACTGAGTAGCGATGGGATAAAATCTATTTGTGATTCCTTGTAAATATGCGATCCACAAGGGGAATGATTATCAGGTAAATACCTCTTACTTAGATATTCTCTCACTTTACTCATTGTCTAAAGGGCTAAATTGTCAGCATTGCAGTTGGTTTTTTTTTTTTGCAGCCAGTGTTTTCAGCATTCTAATTTGACGACTCCTCTAAACACCTGGGATGGGTATACAGTGTCAAAGTAGAGCCAACTGGAACACATTCGTTCTACGATACTGATGTTCTGAAATCTTTTCCTTTTGACCCAAATCTCTGGAGGGAATGGAAGGTTTGGGGACAGACGAAAAGACAATTCCGAGGCATCTCACTAGGATAATCAGTAGACAAAAGCAGCTGCCGAAATAGCCTATGAAGTGAAGTTAACATGCACTCTGCTTCAGAAATTCTGTCCTGGACATGAGAAACTTTACTGCAGAATCTTTCATTAAAACGTCCATGTTTTGACTGCGAGAAGTCTTGACAGCCTCTATTTTTGCAGTATACAAGCTGTTGGGACGGTTAGAACACAATGCCGTTCTAGTTTCCTTCATCATCCCCTGAATGTACTTGATAGGTAACAGGAAGCCTGTTTGCTCCAATCTCTGATGTTACACAAGAAATCCAAACGTATTTTGACTGGTGCACACCAAAAATGATTGTAGCATTGCAACAACATTATTAGCTGATGCTTGGAATCTCATTTCATCCAAAAAAGAATAAATCTCCAAATATTTTGTAAATAGGACAAAAAGTTACAGTTCTGAGCCAGAACTTTCAAACTTTTCATGGGCCAGCCAGATCTTTTACTGTTTATTAAGGAGTGCCATCTGTTATATTCCCATGTAAATTGCATATTTCACAGGAAATATAGGGTGTAATGTATAGTGCTTCTAAAATGAGTGGTTACATCTCAGTCTGGAAGAGATTGTTACTGTTAATGATTTTCTTCACAATTTTGAGGGCAAATGTCTTGTGGTCATCTGTAAGACCAGGGAAACCAGTAAATGTCATGGCTGACACAGTCCGCAAAGAGGGTATTTATTGTTTAACTTTTGAAGTACATTGATTCTAAATATTAGTGACTTTATTTTCTTCTATATCTAACCCACTTTTTCTTGCTGAAGTTTAACCCTTATACTTACTGTTTTGCCTGTGGACATGTTTTGATGACTAAGGAAAAAAGATTAAAATGCTGCTGCAAAATAAGAGACTCTATACTTGAAAACTGATGTCTTGTTTCGTTTCAGCCTTCTCTTTTTCACGTTAAATACCAATTTGCTCACTTTTTTCTACATTCTGTATTTTCAGACTTGTAGCCATTCTTGTCGTTCTTTGCATTCTATCGTGTTGACCTATGCTTTTCTGAAACTGTGGTGCCCATAACTGAACATGAGCCTCTAACTGAGGCCATATCAGTGCTTAAAGGGAGGAATTATATTCCGCATGTCTTAAGGCTATATGTCTGTTTATATGCCTCAATATAATTGCCTTTTACAAGGCAGAATGACACTAACTCAGCTTTTGTTGCTGCCTTTGTATCTTTTTTCCAGTTGTCCACCCTTGTGTATTTGTGTAATTGCTCACTCCTTATTAAATGCAGAACTTTACATTTGTGTTTAACGAATTGCACCCTATTTTTTCCAGTCCAGTCGTAAAATTAAGGATAGCATTGAATTCTGAAGCTACCATGGCAGTCTATATCTGTGATGTTAAATTCACATGTCAGAAAACTAAGAATATTCTGTTACCCAAGTTAGGGAAGAAGAATTAATTCTGTTGTATCTAAAACAGACCCTGCAGAGCTTCTTCGCTGTCGTCTTCCAGTTTGTTAGTGAAACACTGATAACTCCTCTGAACCTGGTTTTGAAACAGGCTGCTCTCCTATTCTGCAGAAGTTTCATCTGCCCCGTGTTTTCTCAGTTCACCTATGAGAATGTTGTGCAAGACAAGATCAAAAACCAATATCCAAAAGATGTAATACTTTCTGCTTCTCCCCATTCTATGAAGCCTGTTTCACCACAAAAGACAAGTGACTTCTTGAACACAGTTTATTCTTGAGTGAGAATCAGTATGAATTTGTTGTATCCTTTTTTGCTTGTACATGATCAGAAGCAGTTTTTGTGATTTGTTCCTCCGTTTCTAGGAACTAAATATACACTGATCAGTTTAACTCCCTGGCTCTCCCTTCTTCCCTTTTAGAAGTTACTCATTCTGTCTTTTTCTGTTATTTTTTGGACTGTTTCTTATCCTCCGGAGGGCACTCTTTGAGTTTATTGGCACTCGGGCAGTTCTCTGAGGAGCTGAAGATGGTTCTCCCCTACCCAGGCCTGGTGGAAGCCAGCAAGGTCTGGGCTGTGCAGGGTTGGGGCTGTTCCCACCCCTGCCCTGAGCTGCCTGAGTGCAAGTACCCAGGTGGCTCTTGACAGAACTGGAGCAAACTTTGACACTATCTGAAAGTACTGGTTTGCTGAACTAGCTTTGGGGAATGCACCTTGTTTTCATAGTGCTGTGCCGTAGCTGATGAGTATACTTGAGGCTTTACACGAAATAAGGTCAGGCCCCTTGTGGTCCACCTGCCTCTATGGCATTTTTTAACCATCATATTGCATCAAGTCTCAGGATAGCTGAGCTGATTATAGTCTTAGCCTGCTGTAGTCAATGAAACTCTTCTCTGTCTCTGCTGTCTTTAATAGTGTACAACCTCTTCTTCATTGTGGGTCCTCAGCGCTTTGCTTTGCCCTGCCCCAGTCCTCTACGTCCTTCAAACTGACAGCGCTGCGCGGAGGGGTTAGCAGGCTGCTTAGTCAGGGGAACGGAGAAGCCTGTGTGAGAAGACAAAAGGAACTTGGCTTGTTTGCCCAATTATAAGCTGTACTTGTTTCCTTAATTCTTTTAAAATTGCACCCCTCTTCAACCTCAAAACACAATCATGTACATGTGTATATGTAATTATGTACATCAAGCATGTGCTGCCTTTGCAATAGAGCCTGTTGTGTCTGGTCAGGTGTTTAAAATCAATAAACAATTAAAAGCTTTTATAGTAAACAAAAACAAAAAATTACACCAGCTGGTAAGCAAAGTAACTGCAACCAAATTAGGATATGTGTGTGTATATATATATTCTTTTACATTCTAAGAAGCTAAAGCTTTTGTAATTTTGAATAATTCACTAACTTTTTTTGCTTTCTCACCATATGGAGAATTCTCTAAACTGCACAAAATTATATCGAGTGTGAAAGCAGCATGCAGCTGATTCCCGTTTTTCGGGAAACTTGATTGTACTATGCACTCCGATATCGGTGGCTCCAAAATCAGTTCTGAATTTGTATAACTGTCTTAATCGGAAAATCTGCAAGAGATGCTCTCAAATGGCAGGCACACGTTTCATGTTTTTTGAGGGGCAGTCTTCACTGTTGCCTGCGTTTTGCTTTACTCTTAGTCCGGAGGGCCATCACACTGTGGCATTGCTTTTGGCGCTAAGTTGCAACTGTCTTGCATTATTCCCTGGAGTTCTTAAGCGGTGCTTGAGAATTCAGCCACAGTGCTGACCAGCCTTGTGTAGCTCTCTACTTCCCTCCTGCTGGTTGGTGTCCGTGTGAATAATAAGGGATAAGTGACTCATAGAGGTTAAGGTAACTAAGGCCACGAAATAGCTTAATTCTTGAGGCTGTACTGTTCTCAGGGTATGATTGTGTGACGCAACTGAGACAAACGTAACTAATCCCAAGCTGCTAGTGGAAAGTATGGTGCTGTTTGCCTTACCCACCTTGTGTGCCTTCAGCTTCTCTTGGGCTGGTGCTGACTCTTCCCATGGTGAGCTAGTTTAGGGTACTCGATTGGCAGAAAATTATTAACTTGTGTTATTTTTTGCCGGCATCATTCCTAAACTGGCTCAAGACTAGAACAGATGAGTGCTATGGAGTGCTAGGGGAGCAAACAGGCTCTTTTCATCAGTAGTGCGGTTAGATTTGCTAAGGCAAGTTTCGAGCATTTTAGGGAACAAGTCTATCTTCCTTTGCAGGATTCATAGCCAAGTAAACAAAATTTCATGCTTTGATCTTCTCAGTCTGCAATGAGAATCTATTCCAAATGTTGTTGAAATAAGTCTGATAGGTTTGAGTTCCTTTATAGGAATCTTTAATTATGGAACTTTCTGGGCCTTATGGCTTTATTTTGTTCTCTTGTGCCGAACTTGTTTTTATTTCACTCACCATCAAATGTTTTCCGGAATACATGCGTTATTTTAGTTTGAGTTTTATTTTTAGTGTTCTTTTATTGATCACTCCTTAGGCTTTTTTGTGGCATTCAGAATAACTTCTCCACTGTAGTAACCTGATTTAGACTGAAGATGAAATCCTGCCAGCACGTTCTTACACAAATAATTTTGTTAGAAAGCAGCTTTTTATATTCTTAACTCCTTTTGTTAAGGAGTTTGTGCTAGATCAGCTAAAACTCCTGAAATCTGGTGCTGTGTAAAATGGGGGAAGCCATATGCATTGTCATGAGTATATTCAGTCTTTCTATTTTTTTTTTCCCCCTCTAGTGTAAGTTTGTTTTGAGACTTAGAATGTGCTAGATCACCTAAGAGGAGGTAAAATTTATTTATTTAAACTTGTACTGGAATCACCATCTAGGTGTGGTAAAACTAATGCGTTCGTTTGAAACCGTGCTTCTCAAAGAGATTTGGAGGATTTAATTTCTTCATCTGCTGTGATTACTGTTACAAAAGTAGTGTCCATAGGTGCTTCCCAATGACTTTAATACGTTCATGACCAAGTTACTTAAATGTGTGTCATAAGCTAAATCTCTACTGTTAGTGAAAAGCTTTAATTTTCTACGAATTGGAGAAAGCGCTGGACTGTTGGTCTAAAAATACTATTTATGAATTTGTAGTCACACTAAAAAATTTTGTTTTAACATTTCATAGAATTCAGGTTATCTTGGTATTTGGAGAAGAAGCAGTGTTGAGGAAGACTGGAAGAAGTCTTTAAGCTAGTACTGCTAGTGATGGTCATGTATTGTAAAAGAGCCTAACTCTTGAGCTGACGTGTTGTGTTAACATTGTGTTCTAAAATGCAGACCAAAGATTCTCTATCTCAAAGAGTTTTTTGGCTTTAACTTTTAGTGTAGAAGTTCACAGCTATTTTCTGATCTGCTTTTATGAAGACTTAAATACTAATTTTTTTAATATTCTTTTTTTATTTAGGGTGCAATTTTCTTGGAAGGAGTAACAGTTAGATGTGTGACCCAGGTGACAACGCAACCAAAGTTAGGAGGGATACAGCAAAAATGTCAGCAGTTCTGTGGATGGGAAGGGTATGAGAAGAATATTTAGAATTTGTTAATTTATACTATCTAGAAGTAAATGTTATGTTTCTAGTTTTGCAGAAGGAAAAAGCTCATTATAAAAAGGAAAAAAGGGAATGATATTTTCAGGTGAATTGTTGCAAAAAACAAAAGAGCAGCCTCAGGAGCACTCAAAGTGAAACAAATGAAGATCATACATTCTCTTATGTAACAGAACAATCAACTGTTGAAATTAAGAAACAATATTCTAAAATTACTTCTACACTGAGATTAACCACAAGCTTTCATATGAGTAGTTGCTGTGCAAATTCCAAGGGTAGTCTAGTCCAGTTTTTTGTGTAAAACCTAGTGTTTGTCTAAGCAATAGACTTTTTCATACAACTGCCGTTGCAGTTCAGTCTTGAGGTATAGTATTCACTTTTAGTTTTCTAAAATAGTTAAAGTCGACTTGAAATTGTCCACTGTTAATGGGAACACTGTTTTTAATGTTTCAGACTCTTAACTTCAACTTTTTAAAACGGAAGACTCAGGGAGTTGCTCACAGTTCTTCCGAACTTGCTGATGCTTACAGTTTAGTTCTGAATTCAAATCTCTCTTCCCCTAAAAAAAAAAAAATATAGCTTTGAAGTTTTATGTAAATCGGCTTTCTATCATGAACAAATACCTATGTTCTTACCAAAAAGCATGTGGATTCTCCTGCAAAATACCTTATATTGGGGAAGATGTTCTAATTGAAAGTTAACATTGGAGCAAGTCTAGTACAACGTGCGACTTCTGTGAGTGTAATGTAAAAAAAAAATGCATTGCCTTCTGTGGCTACTCTTTGCAGAAAGTAAACAAACATGGTTCTTCTTTTAGGTCTGGATTCCCGGGAGCACAGCCTGTTTCCATGGACAAGCAAAATATTAAATTTTTAGAGCAGAAGCCATACAAAGTTAGCTGGAAAGCAGATGGCACTCGGTAAGTTTATTTTAAATGGAAAAAGAAAAAAACAGCAAATAAAGTAGATGGTTTGTATTTTCTTAGGAAAGCAGATTGGGTTTTATGGTGGACAAGCATATTCCAACAACAAAACTGACTTCAAAGGTTACTTTTTTTTGTTGTCTTGATACCTAACATTTACTAAAGTTTGCGGTCCAGTTTCTTTTTAGCAGCTGTTCTGCAGACTGACGGCTAAATGTGTGTACTCTTATTCTTCTTCTGTGACCCTTGCCTGTTTGTCAGGCAAGACTGACTAGATCTTAAAATAACTGAGGTAGCAGTAAGAATTTATCTAGCTAAAGAATTTGTGTAAAGAATATAAAAACTAAATTAAAGCACCTAGTTGATCCTTCAGAGGTCAACTATATTAGAAACTTCATAGGTTTCTTTTATTCATACTGTGGTGCTTTGTTCAAACTTGTAGCTCTAGTTGGTTAGGGAGCCGATGCTTTCTTTGTAGAAGTGATGTTTTCTTGTAACAGACTACAGCCTGATCAGATTGATGCATTGAAGCTGTTCAGTGATATTAATTCTGGTTTGAAACGCATCCTTGTATTTAATTTCTGGATTTTCCTCATGTTAGCATTTCAAAATAGAAGAAACTCCATATATTACCAAATACAGAGTGGCAAGAAACTTCTTTCTCTGATTGTAACTGGTTATGTATCTGTCTCAACACGATGGAATTCACTTGTCTAAATATTTGCATTTTTAGGTGTTGCAGGAAGCTCTACTGTATCTCCAACTGCCAGTACAGAATAGTGTAGGTTTCACACAGGATCTGTGTCATGTTTGCTCCATCCTGTGTGCATCTGAGCTATTCTGTGGTGTCTCAGATGGTACTAGATGCTTGTATTTGGGCAGCTAGTTGCACCCAATTCTGACTGATTGCTGTAATAAAAATTGTAATAGGATTACGGAATCACAGAATCGTTTGGGTTGGAAGGGACCTCTGGAGATCATCTAGTCCAACCTCCCTGCTCCAGCAGGGTCACCTAGAGCATATTGCCCGGGATCACATCCAGACGGGTTTTGAAGATCTCCAGGGAAGGAGACTCCACTACCTCTCTGGGCAACCTGTTCCAATGCTCAGTCACCCTCACAGTGAAGAATTTTTTCCTCAGGTTCAGATGGAACTTCCTGTGGTTCAGTTTGTGCCCATTGCCTCTTGTCCTGTTGCTGGGCACCGCGGAGAAGAGGCTGGCCTCATCCTCTTGACACTTCCCCTTCAGATACTTGTACACGTTGATGAGATCGCCTCTCAGTCTTCTCTTCTCCGGGCTGAACAGGCCCAGCTCTTGCAGTCTTAATTCTAGGATTCTAGGGACCGATTCATTTGACTTATTTTCCAGTTTATATTTTTCAAAACAGAAATATTTTGCTTGTAAGAGATTCTGAGGCATTGCATACAAAAATCATAAAATTATGGAAAAGTCTGTTAGAAGGAAGTCTGGTAGTCATTTAATCTAGCCTTCTGCATGAAGCAGGATTATTTCCAACACTGAACAAGGTTAATTGTGGCTTGTAGGCACATCTTGAAAACCTTCAGTGACAAGGATTACACAGCCTCTGGGTAATCTGTTCAGTGCTGCACTAGTTACCTAGGAGGAAGTTAAACACCCCGCCTCGCCCTCCCGCCTTCCAAGGAACAGTTTGTAGCCATAGGCTTTTGCATCATTTGGTACTACTGAGAAGATTTCTGGGTTCTGTCTTCAATTGCCCTTCAGAAACCTGTAGACTGATATTAGATCCTTGCTTAGCTTCCTCTTGCCTGTCCTTGCAGGTCATGTCCTCTAGGCTCCTGAGCATCTTTGTAGCTTTGCACTGAAGCCTTTTCAATTTCTTTATACCTTTCCAGGACCAGGGCCTCAAGAATGAGTGTAGGCCTCTGGGGGTGGCATACCAGTGCTGAGCAGAAGGAGTTAATAAGTACTGTGATCTGCTAGCCAAGTTCCTCTAATGCAGTCCTGTATACGGAGGCTTTTGTTTTGTGACGAGAGCACATTGTTGGCTTATGTTTAACTTGGTGTGCACTGCACCTAAGCAAGCCCTGCTGAAAAGGGCCAGGAGTCAGTTGTTTACACTTGAAAAATAGTACAATTATTCCTCAGTATACAAGTCAAATAAGTACTTGCACAGTATGAGTGATGGAAGTAAAATACCAGCAACAAAGTGCTAATAAACAAGGAATTCCTGTTTTTACTACTTTATAACTTCTACAACTACAGTTGCCTTTTTGCAATTTTAATATTTCAACACTTACTTTAATATTAACAAAACCCAGTGATCTTGGTCAAAATCACTAAACAGCTTTGTGAGAATTATGATGAAATGTGCTGTGCTGGCTGTTGATTTATTGAATGTCGCTGCTGGCAGAGGTCAATCAATAGCTGTAAATGTTTTAGCAAATACGTTCAGTATTAGCTAACTCCTACCATGACTAGGCATCACCTTCACCTTCCCTGTATTGGTTGGAGCCAGAGCCTCCTAAAAGATGAAAGCAATTCAGCCTATTAAGAACACTGGATTTTACATGATGCATCCTCCAGGATAGGGACTGAAGGTAACTAGTTTGTGAAACTCTGATTTGAGCATCATCTACAGTGTTTCCTTTTTTGGCTTTCAGTCTTGCAGGGAAAAAGTCACATCACAGAGGTTGCCTTTTCTCCCCCCAACACCTTGAACAACCTGGGTGAGGGATAGCAAATATGTTCTATTCCAGTATGTTGTTACAGTAAATCACATTCAAAAAACCCCAGGTGTTAGACAGCCCATTGTCCTTCTCTTACGAAGAGATACTGTGACTCTTCCTATAAGCAAATCTTCTGCAAATAAAATTTCAAAATTGTGCTTATTTTCATAAGATGTGTAATTTGAATATTTTTAGTAGGTTAAAACATTTTTTTGAAATTACAACCATTCTCTTGAGGTTTTGGAACTATCATAAGTAGGGATTGAACCTTCTATTTTTCTTCAGTATTTCTGGTTTCAAAACTAAAATAGAATCCCAGGAAATGACCTTAACCTATGCTACTCATAGCATTCAGATCATAATTTTCCTTTTGGTTGTAGGCATTACCATGAGGTAATTGATAATGATGTTTCTTACATCATAGTCAATAATGTTTCGACAGCAGGAAGAATTTAAATAATGTGATATTTTTCATTCATTTCAATAGTTTGATTTTTTTTTTAAATGTTCTTCACATACAATAATATTAAAGTGATTGTAATCTGCTGAGTGGAATAACGTCATTTGCTCTAAGTGAATAAAAATTGAATATCTTTTTAGTCTGCTTTGACTTCATCAGAAGAAGTGCAATTATGATGTGAATGTGGTCAGAAGAGGACTGTTACACTCATTTCTGCTTAGCATTTTAGACTAACACACGTGCACATGTTAGAAAGCATCAGTTATATGGATGAGATGTATGCCTTCAGAAAGAGGAGGTGAGGATTTGTGTTTTCAGGCCGGTAAAGTTCAAGTACTGTTTTTGTGTACTGACATAGGTAAAAACTGTTTAGTTCTAGCACTATGTAATGGAAAGCATACTCCCTTTCATATCCTGAGACAAAGTAAAGTTTTGATACTAAACCAGCAAATGGTGTAGGCTGTCTTCTAGAGTTTTTCTGAATTCTTGTGCTCTCCTTGCTTTAATGGTTTATTAGTTTGGGCAGAGCACGATGTGAAAGTACGAAATAAGCTCACACTCTGTATTGCATCCAAGCATTAGGAGCTGGCTAGGAATACTGGGCTTATTGACATTGGCTAACTGTATGCATAACCATGAGAGAAAAGTGATGTAGGCGTTCTCGGAAAGCCAGGTTACAGAAATAGCTTGCTGGGACATCCAGGCTTATTCTCAGAGTAGTACAGGTGCATTCAAATGTTGCTGAGTCTGAGTGCACAAATCCATCCAGCTTAAACTGACCACGCAGGGAACCAGATGGGAATTTTTGCACTCATTATGCAATTAATCCACATTCCAGATACACTACTTATTTTCATAGTTTCACAAGTCAACTTCATATGTTTACAAAGCATTAACGTCCTGTGTAGTTCATATTTCTTACGTATCTGTCCTTAAGGAAGCCTTTGTTTTAGAGAGTGATTTACACTGGTACTTTTGTATGTATTAAAGGCATGAGTTTTTGAAATTGCTTTAGAAAAATCTAAGTGTACTGCTTCTAGAAATAGAAATAGCAGAAAATAATTTTATGTTTTTAAAATAATTTATCTACAGAAAGCCATTTGGTGTTAAAGGAAAAAAAAGCATCATCTGCAATGCCTCTTGTGTGCATTTTCACTGGAGAATATTGTGTTTGAAAGTCTAGGTCCTTAGCTAATATAGTTTGATATGATTTAGAACAAATAGTAAGAGGCCATAAAAAATTAATAAGTGCTATGCTGTAGGGTTGCAAGCTATTTTCTTTCACGTTTCCTTTTGTGTGCTTGTTTTCAGTATGAAAAAAATTTCTTTATCATATAGTTTGTTATTCAATTGGAAAATGAAGTCTTATGGAATATTCTTATTTTCTTATTCAAGTGTACAGGATGTGTACATTGGGAATAGTGAAATAATAGTAGTGAAATAGTTGTATATAAAATAGTAGTGCCTGAAACCTGAAAGACTGCCTTTTGTGAAAGAAATTAAAGTGGGCATGTAATTTCGTGTAGTAATTCTAAATATTTTGGACATTATAGCCTGTGTTTTTAAAATTCTAGACTGCTGCCTAAACAGAATGGATTTTGAAGAATAAAATTGAGGGAGCTAAATAGTTCTGTTGAATTTTTTCAATACAGATCATAAGGCAACTTAAAGCTGAGAGCAGAGATGCTGAGGCTGATAGGTATATTCAGAGAAGAGTGTGCTACAGAGATCCAGGATTAATGAAATTGAGCTGAAGGAATGTTATAAAAGAAAGATTACAGATGAAAACTTCAGCTACCATTTGGACATTTAGACAGTGTGTCATGA